ACGTCCTGACTTGTCGTGCCGCTGACGTAACTGTCCTACATGGCCCAACTCTTTTAATTTACGGAGTGACCCCGTCATTTCAAATTTCTTTCAGACAAGCCCCCTTTTATTTACATATTGACCCCAAATTTTTGAATAGTGTTTCGAAATGGTCCAAAATACATATTTCTTAAAAAAAAATAAACATAATATAAAATTAAACTCATGTATTTTTACTATTAGAAAAAAAAAATTTCAACATTCCGAGCCTAACTCACAAACTCGGGGTGTTACACTTTTGACGTAATAAACATTTCTTCTAAGGATTCTAAAGAAAGTTATCTTTTTATTTTTTATGTGTTTCATTATTCTTTTTAAGAAATAGGATAATGTGCGGTGCTTGAAAAGAGTGAAATATGTTGTAAAAGTTGAAGACTTAGAATATTTTTTTCAAATGTACAAGCATAAAAAAGATATGATTAAATTTTTATTACCATGGAAAGATCAACCATAGGGTTTTATGACATACTTATCTTTATTATGAATATGGGATAAAGAATATTTATCCAATTATTCATGGTTACCAAGTAGTAGATATATAATCTTTAATTAAGTAAACTCTAAATTTGTAGAGTTCATTAATATCATAGTATAAACAATACTAACAGTCTATTTTATAAATATCATAGTCTAGAACAAATGCCCACATGTAGAAGCGTGTCCATGTAGACATCAAATTTTAAAAATATTTTCAATGTGGTAACAATGTGATTGAGTCTACCATTGCTAGTATATTATTTGCAACTTTGTATTTTTAGATGTTACTGAAGTAAGTTATGATGTTTAAATAGGGACTAAGAAGTATTATAATAGCATTGGTATTTAGGATTTTCTTATGGTTTTAATATTTTCTTGTTTTTTTTTATAAATTTGTATTTAATTCATAATTGTTTGAAGATAGAGAAAATGAGAAAAAAAAAGAAAGAAAAACAAAAAATAAAAGAAGAAAACTTGTTTTAGAAATAGAAATAGAATTTAAGGAGAAGAAGTAAGAAAGATGAAGAGGAAAAAGGAATTCCTGTGGAGACAAGTTATGTAGCGACCTAGAACTTAAAAAAAATAAATTATAAATTGAATACGGAAGTAAAATAATAGAGTTAGGATTTACATTCCTTACACAATAATTTAGAATACCTAATAGAGCTATGAGAATGACCATTCTAAAAGAACAAACGACAAATTAAAGAAATAAATGAAAAATAAACAACTGGGTATCCGATTCGCAACCCTCTTATGGATTGGGATCTGGATCTTTGTCCTCTTGATCTAAAATGGTTAATGAAAGAGTGAGCTACACTAGTCCAGTAAAAATGTCACACTACTCACCGATACAGAAATAAAGTTTGGTAAAAATTATAAAAATAACTAATAAAACTCTTAATTTAAGTAAATTTATTTATTATAAATAAAATTATTTATTACATACTTACCATAGTGATATTTTCAAAACCGATCTATAAAGGCAATAATAGAAACAACATCATAATCTCATATTCAATTAACCCGAACAACAACTTTCTCTTTTTATCTGCCTATTGGTATCCATGGGAGTCCATAGGGATGTCTCCACTAAGTATGAACCCTTATTTAACATTGTCAACTAACTGACCGTCCCCATAGCCTATCCGGCATGAATGCCAAAAATACCAACCTCAATAACCCATCTGGTATGAGGGTGAAACAAGTCGTCTCCATACCCCGTCTGGTATGAGCGCTAAAATACCAATCATTGATACCCTGTCCAATATGAGGCAACGTTCACGGTAGGGTTCTCTATGTACCCGATCCATCCAATATCTCCCAAAATATTCAGTAAGGCTACCATTCATTCATTCACTTAATCAAGCAATTCTTCGTTTATATTTAATTTTCAGTTTCACAATTTAACTGTAAATCACACAAAACAAATAATACATGCATTAAAGAAATACAACTGAATCATCTTACCAACTCCAACATATTATTATGCATTTAAAACTGTAAAATAAATTAATCAGTTAAAAAAAGATAAACAGTAATAAATGATCGGTTCCGACTGCATTAGTAACATATAATTAATTACCGAGATTTTTTAAATTACACAAAATACCGTATTATTTATAATTAAACTTCAATTCCATAACATAAAATAAAGTGAGAGATTCTTACCCGAATCGGTGTACAAAATACTAAACTTTCAGCTGCGCCTACTGGCGGTCCCCGAATTTCCTAAATTTTTCTTCGAAAATTAAAACACGCTTTAAATACCTAGAAATACCCCCAAAAAATTTAAAATAGGTGTTAAAATCCTTTTCCGGTCAATTTTAAAATTCTGGCACGGCGGCACTGCTGTGCTTAGGCAACAGCACCGCCGCCTGCAAATGGACTGGCCATTTTTGGCCGATTTTATACTAATCCCTGCGAAAAAATACGTCAGAGGGCCTCAGTTGGCCAAAAAAGTCGAAAAATAAAAACTTACCGGCAGTGGAATTTTTCGGTGCGGTGGCTCCACCAGCTCACGTACGCAGTTGGGTGTTTTGCTTTAGTCAGCCTATAAAAAATAAAATGGTGAATACAATTGTGGAAAAATTGTACGAAACGGGAATCGGGAAGGGGCTCATCGGAGGCATTTTTTAATTTTTTTCGCGGCGGCAGTGCCGAGCTTTATCCATATTTTTTGGCTCATCTGTCAGTTCTTTTTCTCCGATTTGGCTATGTGGGTGTTCAAAATTAAATTTCGAGCGAATGAAATTTTTTTTACCTTTTTTGGCGCTCGGAGGTGGCTCTAATGCGGCAGCGGGTGGCGTTCGGCTCCCTTCTCCGGTGACTAGTTCTTCTTCTCTAGCAGTGGGACTGACGGCTAGGGTTAGGGTTCAAAGTAAAGTGAGATATTTATATCTGTCTCCCTTTAATCTGGGTCGTTCATCGCATTTTATCTCGACCGTGCGATCGCATTTAAAGAGAAAATAAATCTGAACCATTCATCGCGATCTCAACTGGACCGTATGATCGCGTTTAAAGAGAAAACGAATCTGGACCGTTTATCGCATTTAATCGCGACCGTTCGATCGCACCTGAGGAGGGAACGGATTCGGATCATCCACGCGCGCAGGAATAAATCCGGACCGTACGATCACGGGCATACGGATTGCCAGCATGGCCTCCCGTGTGACACCGAGTCAGCGTACCTTACCACACGAGGCGCTCTAATTCGTCGGAACTGCTGACTGGGCAGTCCTATGTGGCACATTTTTCTTAAATTGTATTTTAACCTTCAGTTTTCAATTTTTCTTTCAAAAATACATCCGAACACAAATTTTCACCATTTTTTTTCCAAAATTTCATCATCTACCTATTTTTTCCTAATTTTTACATAAAATAAAAATTTAGAAGTATAAAAATTATATTTATATATATTATTTTTATTTTTATTTATTTATTTATTTATTTTTAAATTAATCTCGAACTAAATTTCGGATCCGAATATTACAAGTTATAAGTTTTTTGAATACAAATTAATTTTCAACTCTACCTTTTTACAACTAATTTGTCAAAACAACCTGACCACTATTAGTTGGGTCATTCCCCATAGAAACATCTTTGTCCTCAGCTTTATCATTGTATTTCTTGAATCCTGCTCATGCGTACTCTCTAGCAGTTGCTCTTGTATAATAAGACTTTTGATACTTTTAGGGGGTAAAGTTTGATATATATCTACACGTTGATTAATAACCTTCTATTGTGTTATATTGTTAGGACCCAACTAAGAGTGGCTAGCTTTGTTAGAAATAATTAATTAGGTTCTTTAAGAATAAGGGTCTATTTGGAATAAAATATAAAATTTAGGATTGTATTTGGATCGAAAAATAAGATAGGAATATGTTTAATTTTTTTTTTCTTGGAATAATATAAGAAATTTTTGATATATTATCTTAACATATAATTATTATTTAATTAATAAAATATATAACTTATTATTTAAGAAGCATCAACATAAAATTTCATAATCTATAATTTTTAAGTGTCATAATAAGCTAAGCTAAGTAGAATGATTCCTTAAATAAAAAACTTCCATTTCCTTTGGCTTCAATTCGACTGAGTGATTAATCATAATAATAAATTAAATTCAATGACACGTCTAATCAAATCTTTCTTCTATGGAATTTGACTTTATGCTATACACATTATCAAGTGGGGAGGAGTTAGCGGTAGAACGCATACCAAAAGATTCTCACAATAATAACTACAATTCTTTTTAACTGACTCACGCGTCATTTTAAAGTTGTCCAAAGTGTCATACAATTTTATAATTAACTTTTTTTTTTAAAATATATATATATATCTGATTATTTAAATTCTAATTTAAGATACAAATTTTTTTAAAAAAATAAAATAATGTATTTATTATTTTGTGACATTGAATTATTTTATTTAAAGTAGTTACGACTGATTAATTTTTTTTTTTAACAATTTAATTAATTTAGTTAAGGATTTCTAGTTAAGTAGTTGAAAATTATGAAAGAGAAAAATAATTATAAATTTAATTTTACTTTTAAGTAATCTTTTGTAACTTTTTTATTAGGTTTACAAAAATGTAAAAATTAAATGAAAACAAGACACCCTTTAAAGCCATATATTTTATTCTCCAGACTTCTTCTTTTTAAAAAAAAAAAAAAAAGAATAACCCATTAAATCATTTTCTATGTATATATATATATATATATATATATATAGATTCTGCAATTATATTCATCGTAAAAATGACCAACTTATTCTCTAATTTAGAGCAAATTAAATTAAAAAAAAAATGTAATCGCAAAATCTTCTAACATTTAATTAATATTATATTTGAATATGAATTAATTCAGACAAATATTGGATAACAGAGGTTTCTTCTTTGTTAATCTCATTACTTAAAACAATGAAACTAAATTATGACGATCTCTGGAGTAGTTCAAAAGATTAAAAATAATAATATCAATGCTAATTCAACACTGCGGCGAATTTTCATTAAAGTAACATATGGCTTCAATTTCAACAACTTCAACACCATACTAAAATTCATTACATGTACCGGTTCATTCTAACAGCTCTGCTACTGTAACTGGCTAAAAAGAAAATCATACTAGTTTGTATGATATCTGTTTTAAGTAAAGGTGTTCTTGTTTGTATGTACCCAACTGAGCGATCTGAAGCTTTTGAAGTATTAGTAATCTCCATCATGGCAGTTGTAGATTAGCTGCTGCTGCTTTCAGAATGACCAGAAAGATAAGGAGATGATCGAACAGATTGATCAGAACTATACTGTTGCACCACCAAGACAGATGCAGAAGACGATGAGAAATCATTCGAAGTTAACAAGTTTCCTACGGGTCCTAGCTCTGGACAATCGCCTGTGGCAGTCAATCCTGCAGCAACCTGGCCTGAAGGCATTCGACCAACCAAGAAGAGATTACATCTACTCCATAGTTTAATGGCTTCAACAGTTTCTGCACCATTATTGACATATTTTTCTTCATATTTAATCTCGTGTTCATTCTTCATCTCCTTCAGTTCAGCAAGGAATTGTTCATCAGATCCTGATGAAGCAGCAGCGTTGGAGTCTTCTTGTATGTCAACATTTACATTTTCCTTGACGAATTCAGGAGTTGGCAAGATGTGAACCACTGTTAAACTTATGCCAGGGTGCTCTGCCATGCGCATTGCGTAAGAAAGAGCTTCATGATCGTCGTGTCCGCCGAAGAATAGGACAGTGATTTCAGAAGAAAGATTACTTGCAGATATGTGAATTCCTCCACCGAGTCCGCGATCAACTAAGATCCCAACCGAGCAGGGTGCACGCTCAAGAACCCTCTTGTTAACCCAACGAAACTCGGTTCTAGTTGTCTCCAAAGTCCCATCGAACTTCTGGTGTTTGTGGAAGGGGAGGATTATCATGGCCGCTCTTTTCTTTTCAGCACTAGCGCAGATGTCTTCATCGATGTTTGTCATTGAAGAGATTGCTGTCATTGGACGGATAGATACTCCGCTTAGTTGCCTGAAAGCTTCGAAAGCCACCACGATTGTATCGGAGTTTGATTGAAGCTTGTTCTTATTCCAAAAGGGCAGACCGTTTTTCCTTGCCTTATGGACCATTAGTATTGCAGATGATCTTTCTGATAGCTCCATCAGGTGCATTGCATACACACATAATCCTCCTTTTCTGTCCAGCCCGCGCGAAGCCTCTATGAGGTTAATCAATGTTGGCACATTCCTTGGGCTGTGGAAACAAGCCAGAAGCCGTAGCTGAGTGTGTGAATCTTTTCTTTTAATTGTTCTGTGTCTGTAATCTTCTTTACTCGCTGCTTTAGCTGGCTTATACACAGCCATAACCAAAGGTGTTGTGATGAAGGTTGTGAAAATAGCCATAAGAACCATGATGGCAAATGTTTGATCGTTTAACACCTAAAAATGTAATCCAATTACGAAATTAATACAAGCCCAGATATGACAATTAGATGATTGACAAAAAGTGAATACTTGGAACGTTTAAATACCTTTCTGTCTTTGCCAATGTTGAGGACAATGAGCTCCACCAAGCCTTTGGTATTCATTAAGAATCCCAGAGCTAAAGCCTCCTTAAAAGGTACTTTACACCAGACAGAAATACCCACTGTGCCAGCAATCTTTCCGCAACAAGCAGTAAGTATGACCAAAACTAAGAGACCCCAAGACTGTAGCCCTTGAATGGTAGCTACATTAGTCTTCAATCCACTTGAAACAAAATACAAAGGTAAGAAAAGACCAGAAACAAGATCCTCTACTTTTTCAACAAGAGCATTAGCAAAGGGTCCTTCTTTTGGAACAAGAACACCAATCACAAAAGCACCAAAAAGAGCATGAATTCCAATAGTGTCGGTGATAAATCCAGCTGCCAAAACAGCAGCCAAAGTTGCACATATATACAGCTCGTTCACAGGCTCACCCTCTGTACAACGTTGTGCCATCCATTTAAAAATGCGAGGCACAGCAAGTATACAACAAAAAACAAAGGTAGACCCCGTCAAGAAAACCCATAAGGACACAAGAGGATGGCCACTTCCAGACAGGGCAATTGCAAGAGCAAGTAGAATCCAAGCAGCCACATCATTGACAGCGGCTGCAGACATGGCCATTTGGCCGACGTCTGTGGTTAAAAGCTTAAGCTCGGCCAAGATACGAGCCAAGACAGGGAAAGCAGTGATGGAAAGGGCAACTCCCATGAATACAAGGAAAGGACCATTATCTACTCCTTTAGAGATAGTTGCACGAAGAACAAAAGATGTCCCTATCCCGAAAATAAAAGGAAGGCTAATTCCAACGATAGCTATGCTTAGAGCTTTCTTCCCAGTTCGACGAAGGGATGCTGGATCTAGTTCCAGGCCTACAAGGAATAGAAAGAAGAGGAGACCAAGATTGGCTATGGTATCCAACACTGTGAGGCTTTTCGGTGGGAAAACTGCCTGCAGATACTTGGTACTTCTACCCAAAGCTGAAGGCCCTAGTAGTATTCCTCCCTGTAAAACATGAAAATGAATTTGTAAAGAAGAATAAGGAGAGAATCAAAATTAATAAAAAAATATATATATGGAGTGAAAGCTAAAGAGACTTACCACAATCTCGGCAATCACGCGAGGCTGCTTTAAAGGCCTTAGAAGAATAGCGAGAACGCGAGTAAGTAAGAGGACAAGACATATCTGCAAGATGAGAAGAGGGAGTGCAAAATCAAGAGGGTTGTCTCCCTGAAAGACTCCATTAGACGTAGCTTTCATGGAGGAAGGGCATGGTTTTGCAGCTGTAGCATTTGATGCCATTTTCGATTAACAAGGTTTCGATTCTCAACCTAGTCCCTGCGCAACATTTAAACCATAAAATCAACCAATATACAGAGACATATATAATAACACCATAACTTGGAGCTCTTAAAATAGAAAAGGAATAAATATATATTTAGAAGTCACAGTAACAAAAATAAAAGCATTGGTCGATGGTTTTCCTAGTGCCACCACTCTTCTGTTATACCAAACTTACAGAGTCACATGTTCTCAGTTACAGACTTACGGGAAAATTAGCAGAAAAAATATATAAATATATAAACGTATATGCATGATACTGTTTGATTTGCTTTTAACTGAAAAATTTCCAGAACAGATGATGTCTTTTCTCTTGGCTCTCCGCAGAAAAACAAAAACAAAACTGTACCAAATTAACCGGGTAGAGGACGATTTAGTTTCATGCATATATAATGAGGTGATATTCATGTAGTTATATCTTATCCATAAAAAAAGCAATATACATAAATAAAAGGTATATCATATACATATATATTAATTAATTAGATTTATAAAAATTTGCAAAAAGGGACTAATTAAAACTGACATCGTTTGTACCAAAATAATGTAAAAATTATGGACTACATTCAAATTTTTATAGGCTTATATAACAGAGGCCACATACAGTGGTTGCAAAACTTACTTTCACAAATCAATATTCATATTGCTAATCAGGTGTATATAGTTTTTTTTTTTAAAAAATAAAAATCTGATACGTATTGATATTATACCATGTATTTTTAGATCTATATCCATAAAGTTGATATGATGGTAAATCATACTTAACATGAAATATATATAGATAAGAACATATCATATATATATATATCATAATTGGATGTATAAAATGTGGATTTAAAACTGAACTTTATAAAATAATTTTCATTTTACTCTGATGCCCGTAGCGAAAATACAAAAAATTAAAAATAAAATAATTACCTAAAGCAGAGAAAATTCTACTTCTTTTTTGGAAAATAACGTGTGTGCATATATATATATATATGCTGGATATATGGTGTCCATCAGTTCACGTATATATAGATGGGGGTGTGTGCGTGTGTGTGTGTGTGTGTGTGTGTGTATAAATAAATATAGAAGAATGATAAAGGTAAGGCCAGCTCAAAAAGTATTTGGGAAGCAACAGCCGATAGCTGTACGTTATATATATATATGCCAAGTATTGACTGAGCCACCCGGCGGTTTCTGATAGAATTATATACGCATCCCAAATTCCGGGAAGGTAGGATTAGGAACCGGGTCAACGAGCATAGCTACAATTCTACATTCTTACGGTAACTTTTTTTTTTTTCACAGGGAGGGGTAAATATGTCGTTTCACTTTTCGATTCAGAATACGTTGGTCGTTTTTTATTGAAAACAATTCCCAACCTCTGACTCCGCTGAAGAAGGAAGCATTCGATCTGCATGATATTTCATCCGCAATGACACTTTTGCCCCCACATTCTCTCCCTAATTTACACATCTACCCCATGCAACCAACCAGAGAAGGGAAACGTTGAACAAAAAGTGATTTTCAAAATGAAAACCAGAAAATTAATCCAATTCAATTATTTCTCATGAATTAGTTGTTTTCACTACGAGTGCACAATAACAGAACTTTTTACTCCGGTTTCCCGCTAAATCGTATATATATATATATATATATATAAAAACTGATCAACGAGATATATGCAAATATAGATTATTACCTGAACCTGCAATGACGTCAAAATCTGAGAAATCAGACAGGAAACTCTCTGACTTATTCGGATTTGAAAGAAGAAAATCAGAGGAAGAGATTAGAAAGAGCTTCGAGAGACAGAGAGAGGTCCGAAGGTGACGCCAAGAGATGCAATCAAAGACGAGTGAAGGGAGCAATATAAATAGAGCAGGTTAGATGAGGAGAATACCAAATTACCCCTGAATTCGAACTAAATCTGAAAACAATTCGCAGATTTGGGAGGGGTGATGAGGTAAAATGACAGATGGATAAGTAGAAGTGGAAGCGGCAATAAAAGAGGACATTGGAACCTTGAAAAGTGCATTTTAGTTTTAATTGATTTACTTGGTTAATATAAAAATTTACTGTCCGCCTCTAATTTTAATTTTTACTATCTTGATTTTGACCATACAAGAAAACGCAAAATACGCCGAAAGCAAAATCTGCCTTGAGCTCTTCTAACAAAATCACCGTGTGTGAATTCTAGTAAAAAAAATTTGCAGAGCATACAGCCAAAGTATAAAATGTAAAAAAAATGGAAAACTATGACCCACCATTACCTTAGATTTGATATTTACTTATTTTATTACCTTAAAAAGATAAGTTAAAAAAAAATAACAGTGAATTATTATACGAGAATGACACGTTAATCACGATTTGATTTATAATATAAATAAATTCTTCAATTATGATCATACTATAAAATATTTTTTCTATTATTTTAAACTGATATTTATGTTAAATTATTAAGTTTTGGATAAGAATTCTACAATAAAAAAAAAAAAGTTATTTAATGGAAAATTAAAGCCTTAAATTTGAGTATTCATTTTGTAACCAAAAATTTAAATTAATGATTACATTGTATCACAAATTTTATCAGATTAAATTAATAATTTATTTCTCGTAAAATAAAAAATAAAAAAAAGAAACCAAATTATAACGAACATAATTTTGATTTATCGTAACATATTAATTTAAATTATAGTGGGAAATCTATTTATATATATGTATACAGAGAGAGAGAGAGAGAGAGAGAGAGACTTATTGCATCACTAAAATTCATAAAAAGATCTCATCCAAAGTTGTAATTTAATTTAATCCTTGACAAGTAAGTTTTTAGATTAAAAAGAATATTAGAACTCATGAATGATGAGAATTTGTTTATGTTCTACAAACTAACTATCAACAATGTTAAGCAATCAACATTTGCCAGCATCACATCTTGTCTAATTATAATTAAGGAGTTAATTTGAAGAATCAATTCTTTTAGTCTCTTACTTAAAAAAAGAGAGAGAAAAACACTAGCATTTTTATTAGATGTAATATAAAAAAGAAAAATCATAATTCAATTCAACAAAGATACACGTAAAATATCAAATTTATATAATAATAATAATAATAGATGCATTTGAGTATTTCACCTCACATATAATCAGATTCTTTGTATTATAGTATAAAGCATTATTTTCTTTATGACTAATGATTTAAATACACACACCAGAATGGAATCCCATTTTACCCTACGGGACAAATAATTAATATGTTTTATGTCCCAAATGAAATTATTTACACTCTTTTATCTCCAACTTCTGTACGTAATTATTCGGTCAGTAATTTTTTCTGTGCACGTCATAATGCCTTCATAATTATCTTTTCTATTTTACAAACAAACCAAAAAAAAAAAAAAAAAAAAATTCCACAAGAAATTATTGCCAAATTAAAGATTACACTGTTGCAAGTGAATCCACAAAGAAGTAAGCCGTGTGGATTTATATATTTAAAGATTATTATTATTTTTTTTTTCAAAACTTTTTCTTAAAAATTTTAATTTTCTATATTTTATTAAGTATTAAAAAGTTATTCTCAACTCACTAGATTCAACAGTAGACTAGTTTTATTCAAACATTCAAAATTTTATTTTAACTGGGTTTTTGAAATTTTAAACTAAAGTAATTAAGAATTTATATTTTCTTTTAAAAAGAAATTTAATTTTTTAGTAAGAAAAAAACAATTGGCCCATTCGCGAAATAAATCAAATTTGCTTACAAATTTTATTAAAACTGGCAGTTCTTAAATTTACTAGTATTTTATTTATTTATATAATATCATGATTGTATTTTTCTTTGTAAAATACCAAAAAACTCCCGTGCAATAGCATTTTGGCGGGTGACATAACTATATGCTTGACAGGTAATTGCAACAAATTCTCCCATGAAACACCTTCTCTCGTCGTCAACGATCATACTCTGAAGCTCAAAAACACCACCCACATCGACAGAATCCCACTGTACAAAACCCATTAAACGAAGGAAAAAAACGAAGAGGAAGTAAACCATGGTTGAGAGAGAATATGAAAAGAAACTACTGTGTTCGAGTATCGAGATCGAGAAAGAGTAGGTACACAGAGAGAGAAAGAGAGGAAAAAAAAAAAAATGAAAAGGGAAGCAAAAAGTAGTAGAGGGAGAGCAGAAAAGGAGGAAAATTTGGGAGAAAAGTTGAAGAGAGGGGTATTGGTAGGGAAAAAGGCGGGCCCCTGTACTCCACTCCTTTCTGGACACTGTTCCCTTCTTCCTCTGCGCATGATTGCAGTATCCCTAACCATCACGCCGCTTCTGTTTCCGCTAGAAAACTAGC